CTATTTTGAAGTTATAAATTTTTTATGAAATTTCAATATAGCTCTTGCGCACAGTGTTATGTCCAACTATAGACTTATTATATGTTAAAAGAACCGCGACAAACTAACTTGGAATAATATAGAGAGCGTTTTCTTGATTTCACTAGCATGAAGATTTAAAACTAAAAAAACACTGTTTTTTGCCCGACTTTTCCAGTTTCACCCAAGCCTTACCTTAAATAATTAAAACGAATGAGAGAAAAATAAAACACCAAGCCCAAGTAGTCTCACATAATAAATGGCACTGCTTGCACTGGCTGGCTTAATACAGGGTCTCTGATTTCAAACCTAACGCCGCCGGTCCCTGATAGAGATATAGTGCAACCTTCCCACTGACCTATCCCTACACAGCGCTACCATTCGACTATTAATCCGGTTGCAGTGAGATAGCAGCGCCGGGCTCTGATTGTCCGCCTGTCTGCGAATAAATCACAGGCAGCGACTGAAAAACCTTAGCAGCAGCGCCGCCCCACAAGTTGCACACAATGCGCTGGAAACGCAAGTGTGTGAATGTCGCACACTTGCAGGTGTGCGAACATTCATTCGTACACTTATAAGGGTAAACGTGTGTATTTTCTAGGAAAAATTTTCTAGGAAAAATTCACACGTTTACTCCCCTAAGTGTACGAATGAATGTTCACACACCTGCAAGTGTGCGACATTCACACACTTGCGTTTCCAGTGTGCCAACGATTTCCACTACGCGCCCCTTTTAGATCCCCTGACCCCCTCATCCCCGCCTCCCGCGCATGCCACCCAGATAGCCAGCAGAAGGCCGCTAACTAACCAACTTCCAGGTGGAAAATGAATAATATACTGTAAATGCCGCGAGTGAAAGTCCGGTGCGCGCGAGCTGAGCTGAGCTGGGGTAGCGTGGACTGCAGCAGGACATCCGCCCCGCCACGCGCCGCCGCGCCCCGCCCGGCCAGTCCCAATGACCAAACGTTATCGCACATAAGCAGAAAAATATCTTACCCAGTATGGTGCTTGTTTCTTTTAAAGATTTCTGCAACAGGTCAAAAAGAGAAAAAAGACCCGCATACGTCACATCACCGTTCCCTAAGTTTAAACTCGTGAACGCCCCCCCTACAGGCATGAACATAGTGCCCAACGATATGACGTGTGGCCTGGCGTAGAGGAATGATAAAGCTGCTCAAACAACTAAACGGGTCAAATCTTATCGCACATGACAGGTGCGTATTTATTACAACCTGACATCAATACATTTACCTCCTTTACTAAGCGGCAGTATTGGCCCCAGAAGTACAACCCCTAGGGGCGCGGGCGCGACAGGCCGCGGACGCGACCAGACACATTGCCGGCTTCAACTCTAATCAGATTTGCGGCCCTTCTGATTAAGCCCTTCCTC